AGCAGCAGCTGCTACTGCAGCAGCAGCAGTAGCAGCAGCAGCAGCGTCAGAAGGGGTTATGGAGGAAGGCTGCAAATAAATGAAAGATTAGGATGTTAGAGATAATCGGACGTTAGAAATTGCAGCAGGAGCAGCAACACCACTGGAGCGGCAGCGGGGCCCTCGCTAGGGTCCTGTCTGCATGCTGCGTTGTTCTTTGGGCGAGTGTTTGATGTTTAAATAAATAAAAATGAGTAAAAAGAGTCAATTAACTCGTCAGACAATCCAAAGATATGCAGCAGCAGCAGCAGCAGCAGCAGCAGCAGCAGCAGCAGCAGCGCCGGCGTTTTCGCTGATCGCAGACTCAACTGCATGGAAGAACAATCCTAATATATAATTTATTTAATTTATTTAATTTAAATTATTTATTTATTTTATTTTAATTTATTTTCAATGACTTTCTTTGCTTAATTCTACGAGAGCAGAAGTATGAATACGAAGGCCGCCGCTACCGCCTCAAGGCGGCAATACGAGGTTAGGGTTTAGGGTTTAGGGTTTAGGGTTTAGGGTTTAGGGTTTAGGGTTTGTGTGTTGAGTTTGAGGGTGTCTTCTAAGCTGCATTAGCTGTGTGTACAGCGTGTATTGTTGCTGCTGCCTGTGTTGCTGCTGCTGCTGCTGCTGCTGCTTCAGTGTTGCTGCTTCTTATTAAGTATGGATGGTCTTATTAGGGTTTAGGGTTTAGGGTTTAGGGTTTGCTTCCTGCTGCTCTTCAGGCCTGCTGCAGCTCTGCAGTGCAGCAAATGACAGACGCCCTGCGGCTCTCAGCGAAAATTGTTGATGCAGCAAAAACTCAGTTCAGCAGCGGAGAGAGAGCCCCTCCTTTGTTTGCTGCTGCTGCTGCTGCTGCTGCTGCTCCTGCTCCTTACTGCTTTGACCCCTACAGCAGCTCAAACCACCTCTCAGCAGCAGCAACAACAACAGCAGCAGCAGCTGCAGGAGGGGGACCGGAAGGACATGGGCAGCAGCAGCAGCAGCAGCAGCAGCGTGAAGCAAACAGAGAGGAGGAGTTGCATGTATTACGTGCTGCGTTAGGGCAGCGTTTTGCTTCTGCTGCTGCAGCAGCAGCAGGTGGAGGTTCCGCTGGCGGTGGAGGGGGTTCTGCTGCAGCAGCAGCAGCAGCAGCAGTAGCAGCAGCAGCAGCAGTACAAAGCCAGCGCGGAAGACAGCGCGAGTGTATAACTATTGTAAGCACACTGCAGCAAGCAGCAGCAAAAGGAGAAGAAGTAAGTCAAGTGCTGCCTGAGTATCTGACAAGACCTGTTGCTGTTCAGCTAGGGTTAGCAGCAGACAGCCAAGCCCAAGGTGTGCAGCGGCTGCAGCACCTGCAGCAGCAGCTGCAGCACAACCTTTTGCCCGCTACAAGCATAGATGCAGCAGCAGCAGCAGCAGCAGCAACAGCAGCTGCAGCAGCTGCAGCAGAGAACAAACTCCTTCACCGCTTGCTGCTGCGCCCCCAAGAGAAAGGTTCAAGGCAACTTAAAGATAAGCCGCATGCAGCATTTGCTGCTCTGCTGCAGCAGCAGCGCCGCAGCATCAGCAAGCCAGAGGTGCTGCAGGGGTGGGCAGCACCTCTATCTCCTCGCTTTCAGCGCAGCAGCAGCAGCAACATGGACGGCGTGCCCCAGGCAAATGCTCCGCATACATTTGCTGCTGGTTGGCTACGCACCAAACCCTGCAGCAGCAGCAGCAGCAGCAGCGGGGGTGCTCAAGGAGGGCAAGACGCTGCAGCAGCAAAGCAACCGTCAGCAACAGCAGCTGCTGCTGCTCCTTCTGCTGCTGCGCCTCATATGCAATCCTTCACTGAGCTTGTCGCATCCATGGCTTTGAAACGTACATACACCCCAACACTGGCTGCTGCTGCTGCTGCTGCTGTTGCTGCTGCTGCTGCTGTTGATATTGTTTCTACGGTTGCTGCTGCTTGTACTCTTGCTGTTGCTGCTGCTTCCAGTGCTGCTGCTGCGGCTGCTGCTACTGCTATTGTTGCAGTAGTGCCGGGCGTATTATCATTCGCAGCTTGAGAGCAGCAGCAGCAGCAGCAGCAGCAGCAGCCTCAGGAGCAGCAGCTGCAGCAGCCGCAGCGACGGCAGGACCCTCTGCAGTAGCTGCAGCAGCAAAAGCAACAACAACAACAGCAGCAGCAGCAGCTGGTTTGTGCAAGTTGTGTTTATTTGCAGCAATGACTCTCCCTGCTGGAGGGACTCAGCGGGAGAAAGCACCAGCGGTAAGGGTTTAGGGTTTAGGGTTTAGGGTTTAGGGTTTAGGGTTTAGGGTTTTGGGTTTAGCCTGCATACGAAGTAGGAACCCTTGTTTCTTTACTCTTCTGCGACTACTGTATCGGGTGCTGCTGTTGCTGATGCTTGTGCTTCTGCTCGTGCTGCTGCTGCTGCTCGTGCTGCTGCTGCTGCTGCTGCTGCTGCTGCTGCAGGTGGAGCAGCAGCAGCAACCGAGAGGCCGGGGAGGTGGGCGAAGACTCGAGGTCCTCTCTGCAATTCCTCCTCCTATGGACGAAGGTAAACCCTAAACCCTAAACCCTAAACTCTAAACCCTAAACGTACGCCCTAGGACTATGATCTACGCTGTGGGCCCTGGGGCTCAAGCCTTAACCCTAAATGCAGCAGCAGCTGTAGCAGCAGCAGCAGCAGCAGCAGCAGCAGTCGTAGAAGCACTAAAGGTAGCAGAAACTGTAGTAGCAGTTGCAGCACTAGCAATGCAGCAGCAGCAGCTACAGCAGAAGCAGCAGCATGTGTAGCAAGCCACAGCAGGTGTAGCAGCAGCAGCAGCAGGGGCAGCAGCTGCTGCACACTTCGCCGGTGTTGCTGCTGTGTCTGTTTTGCTTTGCTGCAGAATCTGATGCTGCTGCTGCTCCTCTAGTGCGTACAATAAGAGCAGGGAAGACGGGCCCTATAGTTACGGAGCTGCAGTTTGAAGAGTCTGCTGCTGCAGCAGCAGCAACAGCAGCAGCAGCAAGGAAGAAGAAACCCTCAGTAGAAGCTGCAGTACAAACTGCACCGCCGGAGCCAAACCCCGTACCTAAAGCCCCTCCGGTAGCTGCTGCTGCTGCTGCTGTTGCTGCTGCCGTTGCTGCTGCTGTTGCTGCTGTTGCTACCGTGTGCTGCTGCTGATGCGTTTCTACCGGTGCTGCTTTTGCTGCTGCTGTTTTTTGTTGCTGTTGCTGCTGCTGGTGTTGTTCGTGTCGCTGCTGTTGCTGTATTTGCTGCTGCTGCTGTTGCTGCCGTTGTTGCTGTTGCTGCTGCTTCGAATGCTGCTGCTGCTGCTGTTGTTGTTGCTTCTGCTGCTGCTTGTGCTCTAGTTCCTGTTGTTGATGCTGCTGCTACAGCTGTTGCTGCTGGTGTTTCTGCTGCTGTTGCTGTATTTGCTGCTGCTGCTGTTGCTATCGTTGTTGCTGCTGCTGCCGTTGCTTCTGCTGCTGTTGCATTTGTGCAGCAAAGGGCAGCCCCCCCCCGCAGCAGCAGAAGCAGCAGCAGCAGGAGCAGCACCGGCGACGGTGTGTGGCTGTCTTCTTCTTCTGAAGACTCCGTTACGTCATTTCCTTTAAGTGCTTCAGATTCTGAAGCAGAAGAGTCTGCTGCTGCTGCTGCTGCTGCTCCTGCTTCTGCTGCTGTTACTGCTGAACACTGCAGCAGCAGAAGCAGCAGCAACGACCCGACAGATCCTGAAGAGCAGCTGCTGCAGCAGTGGCAGCAAGCACTTGATGTGTATACGCAGCTCTACTATGGGCCTTTAGAGGAGGTGCTGCTGGGGCTGCCGCAGCGCTGGCTGCCTCTCTTAGATCCTGCTGCTGCTGCTGCTGCTGCTGCTGCTGCGGGTGGGGTGGATGTGCTTGATGCCTTGGGGAGAGGGAAACATGCAGCAGCAGCGCAGCAGCAGCAGCAGCAGCAGCAGCTGGAGACGAACCCTTACATCTTCATGCTACAGGGCGTGGGGCCAGCAGCAGCAGCAGCAGCAGCAGCAGCAGCAGACAGAGGCGTGCCGTCTGCTGAGCTTCCTGCGTTGGGGTGTACGGAGCAGCAGCAGCAGCAAACTGCGCAAGAAGATGAAGCAGCAGCAGCAGCAGCAGCAACAATTGAGGCCTCCATGAAGTTTTACTTTGGTGCAGATTATAAAAAATATATAGGGGGAGATCCTTCTGCTGCAGCACCTGTTCTAGACCTTGCTGCTGCTGCTAATGCTGCTGCTGCTGCTGCTGCGGAGGGGGATGCCGACCCGCAGCAGCAGCAGATGATATGGGCGCACATGATGCAGCAGCAGCTGCTGCAGCAGGAAATGTTACTGCAGCAGCAGCAGCAGCTGCTGCTGCAGCAGCAAGTAGAGCAGCAGGAGGCTGCTGATGATGCATCACCCTCCTCACCGGCGGTATCCACGAGCAGCAGAAGCAGTAGCAGAAGCAGCAGCAGCAGCAGAACCAGCAGCAGCAGCAGCAACAGCAGCAAGTGGAGAACACAAATGAAGCGTTTGCTGCCGGCGCTGCAGCAAATGGGGAGGCAGCAGCATAGGCCGATAACACGAGGAGGCAAGCGAGCGCAACCGAGGCTGAGAAATACCCTAGACGAGTAAACCCTAAACCCTAAACCCTAAACCCTAAACCCTAAATTTGAATAGAGACTGCTGACCGGATGGAGGGGGCTTTGCGTGAAGACGTCATGTTTTACCTTTCTAGCAAATGCTGCAGCAGCAGCAGCAGCAGCTGCTGCAGCTGCTGCTGCTGCTGCTGCAGTTTCTGGAAGAGCACATTATGCTGCTCATGCTGCCTGCCTCTCTCTGCTGTCACCGACAGCCGTAGCAGTAGCGTTCTTTGCAGCAGCAGCAGCAGCAGTTGCTGCTGCTGCTGCTGCTGCTTGATCTGCAATTTGCTGCTGCTGTTTGTGTGTGCTTAGCGGCTATTCGTCTCTGGATGAAGAAGAGCAACAGCTGCTGCTGCTGCTGTCCCCAGAAAGACATCCGCCCCACAGCAGCAGCAACAGCAGCAGCAGCAACAGCAGCAGCAGCAGGGGTTGGGGTCGGCCACTCAGAGGCAGACGAAGTGCATGCGGAGGAAGAGGGTTTCGTCATACAGATGCTTCTTATTTATCTCCTTTGGCTGTCAGCAGGCGTCTAAACTTGCGTCGTCCTGCTGCTGCTGCTGCAGCTGCTGCTGCAGCAGAGGGCAGCGAGGAGGGGGACGTGCTGCAGCAGCAACTCACGCCGGAGGAAACAGCTGCAGCAGCAAACAGCATGAAGAGCAAACTGTCTGCATTAGATAAACAAATTATCCACTTCCTTCGCTGTGCGCAGCAAGAAGACACGCAGCAGCAGCAGCAGCAGCAGCCGCAGCAGCAGCAGCAGAAGGAGCAGCAGGAGGAGGAGGAGGAGGAGCAGCAGCAGCAGCAAGTTCGGGTGAAGGCGCAGCTAAGCGAATTACTTAGAGCGAGAGAAGCGGTGCTCAAGGCTGTGAACATAAGGCGTCGCATAGCAGCAGCAAATCAGTCAAGGGATATTAAAAGAGCTGCTGCTGCTGCTGCTGCTGCTGCTGCTGCTAAACAGAAGGATATGCTTCCTGCAAAGCTGCTGCACGCGCTCTTACAGGAGGAGCAGCAACAGCAGGGTGAGCAGCAGCAGCAAGACACGGAAGAAGAAAAAGACCCGCAGCAGCAGCAGCAGGAGGGGGAGCAGCAGCAGCAGCAGCAGCAGCAGCAGCATGAGGAGGAACAGCAGCAGCAGGGGAAATATGGTGGACATGATTTAGAAACAGCAGCAGAAGGGCTTTTTGCTGCTGCTGCAGCTGCCGACAACTTGCGGCCCAGATCCAGAACAGGTACGATCCAACAGCAACCGCTGCTGCTGCTGCTGCTGCTGCTGCTGCTGCTGCTGCAGTTGCTGCTGCTGCAGTTGATGCAGTTGCTGCTGCTGTTGCTGCTGCTGTTGCTGCAGCTGTTGCTGCAGCTGTTGCTGCAGCTGTTGCTGCGACAGACCCCCAGCGCTTCTGTTCGTGTTGTTGCTGCTCTAGCTGAAGTTGTATTCACCGCTTTCTCTTCTCTGTCTATGCTGCTGCTGCTGCTGCTGTTGCTGCTGCTGCTGTTGCTGCTGCTGCTGCTGCTGTGGTGTTTAGGCGGGTCTTCAAGGGCTCGTTTGCAGTCTCCGCACTTTGGTCTTTCTTTAGACAGCAGCAGCAGCGAGGAAGACCTGCGGGTACGTGCAGCAGCAGCAGCAGCAGCAGCAGCAACAGCAACAGCAGCAGAAGGGGGAGCAGCAGCAGCACCGGTACTGGAGAATCACATATGGCCTTCCGTTGAAAAGTTGTCTGCGCAGCTGGGGCTGAGGCGGCCTGGAGACAAAGCAGCAGCAGCAGCAGCAGCAGCAGCAGCAAGCGATGCTGCAGAACTGTTGCAGCAGCTGCAGCTGCAGCAGCAGCAGCAAACCTCTTCCTTCCCCTCATCGTTCTCCTGGGAAGAGGATCCGATCCCCACGCTGCGGCCCCGCAGAAGAGTTGAAGAGCTCGCCAAACATCTACAGCAGCAGCAGCAGCAGCAGCAGCAGCAGCAGCAGCAACCACAGCAGCAGCAGCAGCAGCTAGAAGCTGCTGCAGGGCGGTCCTTCTCTTGGGAAGAGGAACCGATCCCCACGCTGAAGTCACGCACTCCTTTAGCAGCAACCCTAGACCAGCAGCAGCAGCAGCAGCAGCAGCAGCAGCAGCAACAGCAACAGCAGCAGCAGCCGGAAGAAGGAGCTGCAGCAGCACTCCCTCCTACGCAGCGCCATCCCTTTTTAAAAAAGAAGTCCGGAGTAGGGGGAGGAAAATATAGTAAAACTGCTGCCAGCTAGCAGCAGCAGCAGCAGCAGCAGTAGCAGCAGCAGCAGCTACAGTAGTAAGAGTAGCTGCAGCAGCAGCAGCAGCTACAGTAGTAAGAGTAGCTGCAGCAACAGCAGCATCCGTTGCAATAACCATCTCAGCGTTTGTAGCAGCAGCAACGGCAGGAGATGCAGACCTTGTATTTAAAAGTAATGGCACCAAGGTGCTGCTGCTGCTGCTGCATCTGCTGCTGCTGCTGCTGCATCTGCTGCTGCTGCTGCATCTGCTGCTGCGCAGCGCAGACA